AAAAAAATAAATAAATAAAATAAAAATAAAACATTGCAGATGCTTTGTAACATTATTTCATCCTTACAAAATCTAGTGAAGCAGAATGCTAATTGTTATGAATCCTATGATTTTGGAACTTAATTTATCCATAATAAAGATTTAATATTCTCAGAGCAGTATGGCAAGTATGAATCTGGATTTTCCAGTTCAAGATAACCTGCTCTGTCTCTCGATGCAATGACATCTATTACTGGAATCTCCAGACTTTTGCAAGATGGGAAGAAGCCCATGTTTTAGGCAGCAGCCAGGGTCCTGGTTATTATTAAGTGTCCAAAGGGTTAACTATTAAGGTTATGATTGTCCTTGTTTTGCTCAGATGAGAGGTTCTACTTAGTCTGGATCTCTGTTCTGACAATATTTTACAGTGTAACTTTGGAAGACAGCTATGCACACCACTACACCACCAACGCAGGCACAATGTAACTTTGGAAGACTCATTTTATGAGAAAATTAACTTCCTATATGTCAAAGAGATGCTGTTAGAAAGCAATTTTATTTTCATGGATTGATACTTCCGCATCTTTTAGAAGCTGAATGCAATCCTGGTCCAGTGAGCTGTTACATCATCACCTGTGACGATGAACAAGGAAACGAAGATTTCCTTTCCCCTGGACCCGCCCATAACAGTATGTTTCCCAGCTCAAAGCAATAGGTGGCCAAGTCCTCAAACATGTATCTGTGTTACTATGATTTCTTGAAAAATTGCAATAAAAGACATTTTAATAAAACATTAATAAAATTAATCTTTTACAAAAAAGGCATTGTGGGCATTCCAACAGAAAATGAGGAGCATGTGTTGACCTCATGATTTTAAAATCTAATTGAAGAGATACTTTTTATGTACACAATAATAGTGTAAGACAGCCTAGACATCTTTTGATTCATATCTATGAACTGGAGACTCTCCTAAGCAGCATGAGAGGCCTTACCAAGTAGGAATTGATAGGACTGACACTGCACTGTTATTCAGGTCTAAATCTGGCCCCTTTGCAGGGAAACTGTATAATTTTACATCATATTTTTACTTTGATTTATTCTTCTTTCAAAATGTAATAATATATCTTACTCAAAAGAATGTTATAAAGACAAAATGTGCTAAATGACATATAAAAATTTCAACCCTTGTTAATAACTTTAAAAAAATAATTTCTGTCTTGAGCTCCAGACCCAAGTTTTTTCATTAATGGCTGCATATCCTGCCAATCCACAACATTTCCCCAAGGAAACCTGCAGATAGCTTCTCTTCCCTGTGGTGTCGTGCGAATCCTTCCTCAAGGCAAAGCGTGGCTGGCCACTGGGTTCCCATGCAAGGACAGGCAATGCTAATCTGCAAACTTGCCATCACCTTCCTTGACCTGAGCTCTGGCCTACATTTTCCTTCTGCCTCTCTGATAGCATAAGAGACATGGTAGAGAGGGCCGGGAATCTATGCTGACTGCTTTTCCGCTGGAGGGAAGTATTGGGAGTGAGCTCTCAAGGCTCCTTCATAACTCAGCATCTTACCTTGTTTTCTTCACAGTGTTTATTTTCCCCACAACCAGTTCCAACCAGAGTCTGTGTCCTCTGCAGGTCTGAACTTTGTCCCTGTAGTGGAAGCTTTACCCTCAGGAATGAGTACGGTAGTGGTCGTCATATATGAGATGCTAAATAAATATTTACCGAATAAAAAAAAACCCTTTTATTTTTAGTTCTCCCACATCCAGTTAGTAACTAAATCGTCCCTGTGTTGCTACTTAGGTATTTCTCAGATTTGTCCCTTTCTTTCCTTCTCATTTGCTTCTGTGCAAATTCAGACCCCTGTCTGCCTTCATTCTTACTTCTGGCTGGCTCCTTCTCTCCACTGCAATCTGGCTTTGGCCATTCTCTGTGCTGCTGTGAAGCTAACTGTGCAAATGCTCAAGTCCTCCTTCCCACCACCCCATGCTTCCCTTGGCAGACACGAAAGCATGATGCCCGGTCTGTGTCAGTCAGCTGTCCATTATTGGAATGAATACAGGATGAAAGGCAAATACAGGGGGAAGTTTATTTTGTTTCACAGTTCTTGAGGTTTTGGTTCATGACCTGTCAGCCAGGTTGCTTTTGGGCATGTGGTAAGGCAGCACAGCATGAAGGCAGCCAGAGCAGAGCAAGATTCCCTAAGGTCATGGCCGGAATGACTGTAGGAAGCGGAAGGAGCCAGGCCTCCTACTGCCCCTGCTCTTAAATCCTCTCCCATCTCTCAACAGGGCCAGATTGGGCTCAAGCTGCAGCCACATGGGCCTTTGGGGGACACTTAAGGAGATAGATAGACAGACAGACAGACCGACCGACCGACCGACAGATAGATGCATATGTTATTCTTCTATATGTATACTATTAATCTAAGACATTGCTAAACTCAGTTTTATAACCAACTCTAAGTGCTAGTTTGTGCTTCGCATCATCTACTGTGGTGTTTTTATTTCACTATATGATGAAAGGTCTATTGTCCACCCACGGACTCTTCTTCCTGTTTTGTATTCTAGCAGAGTTTAACCAATACTGACAATAAAAGAGATAAGTGCTGGGCATGGTGGTGCACACTCTAATCCCAGCTCTCAGAGGGCTGAAGCAGGAGGATCACTGTCAGTTTAAGATCAGCCTGGGCTACGAAGTGAGCAGAAGGCCAGCCTGAGTGCACAGCAAGATCTTGTCTCAAAAAAAGATTTAAAAAAAAGAGATATAAGTGATAATGTTGCATCTGTCATCAAAAAGGAAAGAGAAAGATAAACTGGACATCAAAATCCATCTATTCTATATCAGGCATTCCTTTTGCTTCCTTGACATCAATAACCCAGAAGCACAGAATAAAGCACATTTCAATGCTAGTAGAACTTTCTTTCTTTCTTTCTTTCTTTCTTTCTTTCTTTCTTTCTTTCTTTCTTTCTTTCTTTCTTTCCTTCCTTCCTTTCTTTATTTCTTTTCTTTTCTTTTCTTTTGTATTTTAGGGAAGCGTCTACAGGGTGTTCAGGGTCTTACTACTAGATCAGACTCAGTGATCTGCCTGTTTACAGCCTCCCAAGAACTGGGATTACAGACACGTACCACCATGCCCAGTCTCAATTGTCATCTCAGTGTGCCCCGGGGGCGGGGCCAGCACAGTAGGTCCCAGGATCAAACCCCTGGCCCTTGTGTCTGCTTGCAGGCACTTTAGTCAGCTGAGCTATTTGGCCAGCCCCTAGAACTTCTTTCCTATTAAGAGATTTTATAACTATAACTCTAGGTCCTGCAGAGTTAGCACAAATTGTGAGGATGACAGCTCAGCTACTCTGGCACGTCACTACTATAAGAGTTTGGAAGAGAAAGGAAAGACAAGTGCCAGTGCAGGTGCCTCTTGCACCACCACACACGTTATCATCAATCTTCATCCCTCAAATGCGTTTCTCATCTAACAGGAGAGATCGTGAGCTCCTGTACCTGGCAGAACCCTCCTGGCTTTCACTTCCCACAGCACCCAAGTTCAGCATAAGCTGCTTCATACCTGGTGGTCTCTCTTCCTATTCCCCTGATACCCTTTCCTTCAATGCAACAGTGCCAAACCATTAGCAGATACTATCTAATGAGCTATGATGTGTCCTCCTCAGATTTTCTCAAATTTAACTCTTTAATGAGCACAGGAAGTTCATTCTGTGGTTGCATCTAGGATGCTCTCCCAGCCCTATGCACTATGGTCCCTGACACCTGTCTAGACTCTCTCAAAGAACAAAAGAGAGGGTTCTGAGATCGGATGATTCCATGATAACGGTCTTGTCCGTCTCCATCAGCAGACCACAAACACCTCGGAAAGTGATTGAGTTTTTCAAACGTGATCTCAATGCCTGATACATCCTAAGCATGAATGACTGTATTGAATTCATGGAGAAAAAGTGATACAACGATAAAATGGGTGGATCCTTTCTGTTCCCTGTGGGGGGACGTGTAGAGCTTGGCTTGAACAGGCAGGAATCTGTGAGATTCTTCATCTGGATGGCAGAAATTGTCTATAATTAGATATAAAGTTTCAAATGGTTGCTGTTTGATGCTTTCATGTTCCTTTTAAAGGCCTTCTTTTGTTAGAATGAGGTGCTTAAGAAGCCATAGAACGATGCATGTTTGCAGTGGAACGGGAATGGGTTTGTAGTGATAAATTATTCTTAGGTGTATTTCTGTGCCACAGGAAATCTTATCAATAGAAATAACACTGTGTATAAGTCAGCTAAGCACTTGGGAAACATTAAAAGATATGACTAAGCACTCCAACAACAGCCTAGTTCAAATTCCTCTTCTGCTGCCTTCTCCAGAAGTAATTTGATTATGGTGCATAATCTTACAATAAAGACAACTGGGTCGTAATCTTTTGAAACTTTTTATGTTGTTCAGCTCCATTTTTCAGCTCATACAAAATGAAAGTAAAATGGTACTTGTGGTAAAATGGTACATTAGGATTAATACAATTAGTATAATGATTTAAGAGAGTGCCTGGTACTCAACAAGCAGCTCAATTAATATTTATTATTAGTCAGGCAGTAAGGCTTCTTCACTCTTCTGATTTAGTATATGCTATTATATATTATCATACATGCAGCATATAAAGCACAGAACACATATGCCTACATATGTATTGCATATTATATACATAATACACATGTAACATGTACATGATAAATGACTAGCACATATGTCAAGATAATGAAAGCAGCCACCTCCTGTGATAAGATGAGAAAAATGCTACTTTTGAATGGGGAAAAGAGAGCAGAAAAGAGGAAAGCACAGTGTAGGCTCAAGGGCCCTCGGGATCAGCCCAGAGGCAGCCAGGACTTCCGCCTGCCTGCCCGCTGCGGCTGCAGGACCACAGCTCCAATGTTGTGCAACACCTTCAGTAAACACTTCCTCAAGTGCACACAATGAAGCAGGGAGTTTCACTCCGCCTCACGTCAGCGCAGGCAGGGCCAGAGCTGCAGCTCAGGTGCAGCAAGGGCAAGCCCGCTGCTGGAGGCCCCCAGCATGTGGCAAGGGACCCTGCCGGTGCTCCTGCTCCTGTCCCTGCTCGCTCCAGCTCCAGGTAGGCATGCAGCCTTGCTCAGGCTGTTAAGTGTGTCAGAGGCCTGCCGACTGCCATGCACTCCCAGGAATTGTGGTGTACAAAATATCTTGGGTGGTCCTCTCCTTGCTATCAACAAGTTTGACTAACAAGATGGGTCGGTTTTAAGCAGTTATTTGGAGGCTGTGGTTGATGCAAAAGCAATGTCCAGAAGAGAAATGAGAAGCCTTAAAATCACACTTACAGATCTGATCTTGAATATTGAGAAATGAAGGAGAAGATTGCAGATGACATAATTTGAACATTGAATACAGTCTTTGAGCCAAAAAGGGAAGCTCATTAAAGCTCATCTTGTCGCTTTCAGTGTCTTAGAAATACAGAGGTCTGCTTGGTGACACTTCAGGAAAGGCTTTGGAGCAGGGGTGATATTGTGATTGGGGCTGCTTTAGTTCCTTCTTATTCTATTTAATCACATATTTTTCAGTTCTTTTATTTTTAACAGAAATAAGCATAGCTCATTGTAAATAAACAGTTGACCAATTTTATATTTGTAAAGACTTGCAGTTTATAGTGAAATGTAATTTGACGATTCACTTTTATTTTTACTGATTATATCTAATAGTTACAAATCTAAAGGAAGTATATTACTTTTTTAAAATATTACATCTAGCTTGTCTCATGATTTATGAATAATTTTCAATTCGGTTTTTGGATGAATGAGACTAGAGACTACAGTTCTATTGCCAGAACATAAGTTAGCACATTAGCTGTGAATTCTGGGCTCCTTCCCTGGTAAACCTTTCCCTGGGTCTTAGAATGTGTAATGGAACCTGGCAATAGAACAAACTGATGACAAAAGATATGGGGTTCCGGAGCAAAAGATTTTCTGCGCTGCATCCCATCTATACAACCTCACTGAAAATGGTTTTTGCGACCCTGGTTTCTGATCTGTTTGTCAGACTTATTAAAGTTTTACTTAATATCCATAAATAGAAGACTTAGCTAGGCTTTTAATTATGTGACTCAAAATTCCTATTTTTTGAGTAAAAGTTGAAATCTTGCTAGCAATCTTATTTCCCTATATTTTTCAGAAATGCTGCCCCCCTCAAGTCTTGGGGTTTCCATTCTTAATTGAAACCTGAACGCTGCTTGCGTCCTTCCTCTCTTGGTGAGCGCAGCCAGGCCGGCGCTGCTGGAATCACCTGGCGTGCTGCGAGAGGCGCTAGCACGTGCCGAGAGGACAGAGATCCCCTGGATGCGCTAACAGTCTCTCCTTGCCAACATGGGGTCCATACACGTTACTGTCCTTTGGGTGAAACTGAGCACCCCAATCGTTTCTACTCCTCTGGCCATGCATTCAGAGTAGAACAGCAATGAGGTGACACTCTTAGAAACTTTGCTTCAAGACACGACATCCCCCTCACCCCCACCCCGCCAAGTATGTGTTGGTAGGAACAGAGTCTGAAGTCGCTCCAGCGAGAATAGGAGGAGGGACAGACAGCTACACCTCCGACCTTCCATCCTGAACAGGGAACCTGCTGCTTTTCCCTCACTTTGTAGCTTGCTCTAACAAAGGCCTCTTGGTGTTCACTGAAACATCCGTTAACACTCCTACAAATTTACTTTGAAGCGATTTTCAAGTCGCACCCCTCCGTTTTCCTGTTCT